TTTTGTTTGATGGTGTAAATATACCTAATCTTTTAATTTAGTTTGCTATGGCTAGATTCATTCTAACAAGATCAAGCTCTTTAAAAACCATATGATCATCCCTTAAAGCTTTTAACAATTTTGGCGCTGGGGAGATGGCTCAGTCTGTAAAGTGGTTATTGTGCAACCATGAAAACCTGAGTTTTGAGCCCCAATATCCACATACAAAGGCCTCAGGTCCTAGTATACATCTATATACCTAGAGCTGTGGGGCACAGGAAGAAGGATCCCTGGAGCTCATTAGCAAACCATTTTAGCCAATCAGTAAGAGACCCCATCTCAGAAAATAAGATGGAGCATTATTACATCCCGTGTGTACCTCTGGCCTCCACTCATAACATATTTCTACCCTCACCAGTCAAAACAGAACACTAAAACCCCCCACAAACCCAACAACAACAACAACACACACACACACACACACCACCAACAAAAACCTTTTAAATTATTTCCTGTTGCATTGCTAGGTTGCAGAACACTCCCTTAATGGACAAAACTCGGCACGTCACTTCTTTTTTTCTTTTTCTGTTTTGTAATTCTGTCATTCCCATCAGCTGTTTTTCCAGGTTTATAGTTCCCAGTTCCTGATATCCATCCATATGTTATACACAAGCCGTGGTAATCTTCCCGCCAGTCCAGGAAGTGTGCTGTGCAGTCTTGTAGCTGTGCCCTGAGTGAAATCATTGCTTTCTTTCCTTTGTGACTCATTCTTAGGGCTCATCTCACATTCCATGGCCCCAGATTTTTCTCTTTCTGGTTAACACTGTCTTTGATGTTCTTTCTTTTTTCTCATAGCAAACTATGCAACCTTATTTCCTATCTCAAATGGACTTTCAGAATTTAAAATAAAATTTATTTAATTAAGTATGTATCACCTCATTCGTTGATCCTCATTATCATTCATCTTTCATAATTACAATCATGGTAAAGGCCAATGATATATACAAGCTTATAGTACTGATAATTATAGTAATCTAAAAGCTAACCTAAGTTTCATTTTCTTCAGTAAAGTCATTGTGATGATGAGTTTCTAAATTATTTCCCCCATATTACTCATTTCCTTCTCTTGGAATGTAACTTCATTAAAAAAAAAAAAAACTTATTTAGCATATTGTGTACCATGCCCTAAGCAAACTTCTCAGAAGTTCTTATAAAACTCTGAGTGTGTGTGTGTGTGTGTGTGTATGTGTGTATGATGTGTGTATGTATGTACACGTCTGTATGTATTATGTGTATGTGTCAGCCCATACTTGCATGTGCAGATCCAAATGGTCATACATGGTCCTTGATGACCACAGCTAATGTTGGGTGTTTTCCCATATTGCTGTTCCAAATTTTTTTTTTTTTTTTTTTTTTTTTAAAGAGGTTTTTTTTTTTTTTTTTTTTGAGACAGGTTTGGTTTTTGCTGTTTTTGGTCTTTTGAGACAGGGTCTCCCTGTAGCCCCAGATGGCCTAGAACTTACTAGGTAAACCAGGCTGCTTCTGTCTCCTGGGTACAGGGATTAAAGGCAGAGTGTGCCACAATGCCTGGCTTGAGATAGTATCTTTAACTGAACTCGAATCTCACCATTTCAGATAGATTAGCTGGCCAGTGAGACCCTGCTCTGCCTGCCAGGCTCCCTACCCCCCTACACACATCTAGTGCTAGGGTACTAGATGTGTGTCACCATGCCTGGATTTTATGTGAGTGCTGGAGATCCAAGCTCTGGTCTTCGCTTACACAGCAAGCCCTTACCCACTGAGCCATCTCCCATACCCCTGATTCTGAAACTCTTATTGTTTAAGACTATTATTTTTTAAAACTATTTAATTAATTAATTAGTTAATTTATTTATTTATCTTTTTGAGACCGGGTCTCCTTGTAGCCCCTGCTGGCCTGAAACTCGCTATGTAGACCAGGCTGGCCTTGAACTCACAGAGATCCATCTGCCTTTGTCTCCCAAGTGCTGGGATTAAGGCCATGGCTACCATGCTTGGCTAGAGACCAGTAATTTTTTATTTAATAGTGGTTTTTAACAAAGAATATATCTTTAGTTTCACCATTCATTTATTCATTTCATTAAGAAGAAAGTGTGACTTTTAGTACTTACAAATTAGGCAGAGATATAAAGTTTCATGTAGGATTTATAATTTTTAATTAAGACAATGAAGTATATACTTATTACAATTTTAAAAGTATTTTTTATAGTCTTCTTAGACTGTATGATTATTTTTTTGTTGGTTTGCTTTTTTGTTTGAAACAGGGTCTCATGTATCCCAGGCTGACCTGGAGCTCGCTATGCAGCCAAGGATGACCCTGAGTTCCTGATCCTCATGCCTTCACCTCCCAAGTGTTGGGTTACAGGCATGCACCACCATGCCTAGCTCTATAGTGTGGTTCTTAAGCTTTAACTCATTTTCCGATCTTTCCTAGTAGCGCTTATTCATTTTTCATAGGCTCAGCACCTGTTTCTGGAACAATGTAGTGTGTTCAGCACTCTGCCATCACCGGGAAACCATTGTGAGCAAAATCAAGCCTAGAGATCTCATGCACTAGTAGGAAAGAGACAGTAACTAGGCATAGGATAAATAAATTTCAGTTATACCCCTGATGGCTCTCCTTTAGGATGTCTATTTAGTGCTCTTTAGCTTTATAAAATTGGACTTGATTTTGTTGGCAAAAATCAAGAGAGTATGTAGTTTATATGGAGCCCCAGGCCTGTGGCAGGCATAAGCTGGGGCAGGAGGAAGCACGGTTTTCTTGTGGAACTGACAGAAGGCTGGGAGTTGGATGCAGAGGAAGGAGTGAGCAGACTGTGGAGAACTTGTCTGGGGAAAGGAAAGGTCACTCTGTGGGTCCCGTTAAGAACTTAAGAGCAAATGAGTTCAAAGCTTTCATCTGAATACATATAAGTGAACTATTAAAGATGTGTGTCTAAACCTCAATAGACAGGAGAATAGTTGGACCTGGGATGGAACTGCTGTAAAGATGGGGTTGGAAATTTGAGGAGGCCAAGAGGAGACGGTGAAAGAAATTTCTACTTTGCTCTCATCAAGATAGGCATTATTACATGATAGCGTAGCTTGGAGCTCTATTAGGTGAAGGCTGGGACTGATGAATTGGATTAAGTTTTGAGAAATTTGCATATTTACACTACACATCTCAGAAGTATGATAGGAATATTTAAAAACCCAAGACATAATCCCTGTTTTTAAGGTTATAATTTCATTGCAAGAAATAAAGTGTAGCCACAGGATGTATTTAACTAACATATGTATGTAGAAATTCCGTCGATGAAGTAGACAGTGAGGTCCAGAGAGCATCTCCTCACCCAATAAACACCTTTTCCTTTTGATATTACATATAATTATTTAAGTTTAATATTTAATATTTCACTTTGAAAGCTATTAAAATGCCACCATCATACTTAGTAATTTTTAATGGAAACTCCAGTGGGAAAATATATATATATATATTTACGTGTTCAAACTTTTATAATTTTTGGAAGTTTTCTCAGTCAATTTTATTTTAAACATGCTTATATAAGGCAAAACAGCTTTGTTAAGGATAGTGTATATTTAAGCAAAATATTATGATTATTATTCATAAAAATTCTCCCAAACAAAAGCATGACACTTTTTATGCTTTCCTTAGTGTAAATTTCATACAATATATTTTGATCATATTTACATCGCCTCCTTTATCTATATCCCCTTTCAAAATCCCCCACCAAATTTCTTTTATATATATATTCACACACACACACACATATATATTCCTATAGAGTCAGTTTTGTGTCTCCAAATGCCGTTCAATTGTGGGTTCATCCACTGGAACCTGGTCAGCCTACCAAGAGTTCACCCTTAAATGAGGCTGAATCTCCCCTTCCCAGCAATCTTCCATTGCCAATAGTTCCTCAGATAAGATTGGGGTTTCTTACCCATTTCCCCCTCTCTGTGTTGGGATTTTGTCTGGCTTGTGGGTCGGTTTAACTTGTGCTTGTTGTTACCACTATTGTGAATTCATAGGAGTAACTGATCAGCTGACAGGAAAGCTCAGTTTTCTTGTGGTCATCTACCACCTCTGGCTCTTACAGTCTTTCCTCTTCTGCAAAGATCCTTGAGCCTTTGGAGGCAAAAATTTGATATAGGTGTCCTATTCAAGGATAAGCACGCTGCAGCCTCTTATTCTCTGCACACTGACCAGTGTGTTTCCTTGTGTTAATCACCATCTGCTGAATAAAGAATCTTCTTTGCTGAGAGATGAGAGATACATTAACCTATGAGTGTAACAATAAATCAACTGGAAATCATTTAATACTATATCCCTTTAGCAGCTATATTAGGCAATTCCAGGTTGTAGTCCAACATTGAGAAGTCAAAATGAAAAAACTTGAATCAGCTAGTCATTACATGCACAATCGAGAGCAGATCCAGTGCCTTGATCTGTATAGGCTGTGCTCAGCTCCATTTCTCTGCTCTTGTATAATCCAGAATTCCCTGCCCTGGAAATGGTATCACCCACAGTGGGTAGATCTTCCCACCTCAACTAATGTAATCAGGATAACCCCCCCACAGACAAGCCTAATCTAATCTAGACAGGTTAGAAACCTGAAACTCCCTTCCCAAGTGATTCTAGACCATATCAAGTTAACAATCAAAACTAATAGTTAAAATCACCATGGCAGGTATAAACAGACAGTGCTCTGGGTTCTGAAAGGATTTGTGGAGAGGGGATTTAAACAACAGGCAGGGTCTGTATAGGCAAAGTTTATAAGAGAACTTTCTAAGTAGAGAGTCAGAAGAATTCAGAAATGGAAGGTGCAGTCAATGTGAACTCCAAGTAGATTAGTTAGTAAACCAAATTGGAAGGATTTGTCAATGCCAGACAGTGTTTAAATAATAGCATCAAAGCCTGTGTCCCTTAGAGAGACCTTAACCTGTTTTCAGATGATATAAGAAGATTGTCATTTCTTCTGCAGGCTCCCGTCTTCGTCAGGAAGATTTTCCACCACGCATTGTTGAGCATCCTTCGGACCTAATTGTCTCAAAAGGCGAACCTGCAACCTTGAACTGTAAAGCTGAAGGCCGCCCCACACCTACTATTGAATGGTACAAAGGTGGGGAACGAGTGGAGACGGACAAAGATGATCCCCGCTCACACAGAATGCTGCTGCCAAGTGGATCTTTATTTTTCTTACGCATAGTACATGGACGGAAGAGTAGACCGGATGAAGGAGTCTATGTCTGTGTAGCAAGGAATTACCTTGGGGAAGCTGTGAGCCACAATGCATCGCTGGAGGTAGCTAGTAAGTAAAATGCTTTCAGTGTTTCACAGGGGATGGCAGGGTGGGATCACGAGCTTGGACAATAGGAGTAAGAACCACTGAACGTGTATCATAGTCTTAGCATAAGGATAATGTAGTCTTTTCTGTGGCACAATCTACTATTTGGATATTCTTTATTTGTTAGTCTATCGGGTTATTCCAGCTAAGTTAAGGTCACACACAAATGTGGAACTATTTGAGTTTTGATTTGGGTCTGTTTTCTAGTGAGTATTTTCACTGAATTGTTTTATTCCTTCTCTGTTTTTGCTTCTAATTATGTTGAAAATAAGAATTTGTCTGCAAGTAAAATTGTATGAGATATTTGAATTTTGCCTTCATCAAAATTATTTTCACCTTTGTTATTTAAGGTATGTTTTAAAACAATTTCTAAGTCTTAGATGCTTGTTAAACTTCCCTTAGTACATCCAGGAGAAGTTCATGTGTGACTACTATTGTACAGCCTGGGGCGAAACAGGTGTATGCTATCCTCAATAGCTGGAAGCTATGCTTATTTACACAAATATCAAATGTAGCATATTTGAAATGATCTCTAGAGGAGTTCTTTGGACTAATGATTCTATTATTATAACTGGACTCTAGGTTTGTATTGTATTTGAATAAGAATTGGATTTCTCTTATTGAAAATCCACATTCAAGAGTCAGCCAAAAATCTCTCCTTCTGTTGAAATAATCCTGCTATGAGTGTATGTCAGGAGTCAGGAATTTATGCCTAGAGATGGAACAGACAAATGAGATTTGTGTTAATTCATTTGAACTATATTTAATCACATATGTAACTATATCATTTTTATCTATTAATATATTTATGTTTTCCTAAGATGAATCATTAATTTTCAAAGTCTACAACATTCAGTTAGAAGTTGAGCATAGAAAACCATAAATAAATAGAAAATTTAGAGATAAATTATCTCATGACAATCATGATACTAATATGGAATCAATCCTAATGAAATTAAATGATTTTATTGACCTTATAAAGATATGTGGTGTTTCCATTAGACAGACTATCAAAACTTCCAATATTAGCAGAAAATATAAAATATAATTGTGTAGAATAAAAAAAAACAACCATTTAAAACTTGTCAAAATTAGCCATTCACATTTTTAAAATTTTGTTGTTTGCTTTGTTTCAAGCTAGCTTTTTGCTGTACAGCCCAGGCAGGCCTCGAAGTTTCAATCCCTCTGTCTGTTTGGGAACCCTGCTGCTAGGGTTGGCCACATCTGTCTTAGTCTCCTCAGTGCTGGGATTATAGGCCTGTGTCACCATACTCAGTTCACATTTTAAAAAATATTTACATGCGACATAAGTCTCTTTCATGTTTACATTAATTGACAGTGAACTTGCTGTCTTTTTTTTTATTGGCATTGACTCTCAATAAACTACATCTACAAGAGGCATGGAAGATGTAATCACAACAGAAGGAGATTTGATTTTTACATTTTAAGCCCAACTTTAAATACAATCCAAATGTCCTGGTTTGCTTCTCCATTGCCGTGACAAAACACGCTGACCAATACCAACTTGGGGAGGAAAGGGTTTATTTGTCTTACATCTCCAGGTCACAGTTCATCAGGCAGCCCAAGGTAGGAACTCAGGGCAGGAACCTGGAGGCAGGAGCTGGAGCACATGTCATGGAGGAATGCTGCTTACTGGCTTGCTCCCCCTGGCCCCGGCTCAGCCTGCTTTCTTATACAACATAGGCCCACCTGCCCAGGGATGGCACCACCCACAGCGGCCTAGGTCCTCCCAGATCACTCAACAATCAAGAAAGTGCCCCATGGACATGGCCACAGGCCAATCCAATGAAAGCAGTTCCCCAGTTGAGGTTCCCTCAACCCAGGTGTGTCAAGTTGACACCAAAGCTATCCAGCACACCAAATAAAAAATATTTAAATGCTTTTACTATTTATAAAACAAAGTGTTTCGATAAAATCATGTTTTAAATAATGTTATGATATTGGCATCTCTGTAATCTTCATCATACTTTTATTTTAGTATAATTATATCTCATTGATACAAAATTAAGGTAGGTAAAAATTTGAAAACCAACTTAGGGAATCAGAAAAGTTAATACAGAATTGTGGGTAGGTACAAAATCCCGAATGCCAGAAGACAAAGCAAAGTGGTTGTTCCTGGGAAATGAAGTGTGTGCGACAGAAATATGAGAGCTCGCCTCCTGCTTTTGTGTTGTTTCCTACTCTGGGTCATTTTTGTCATTGTCAGTGTTTTAAAAGGAAGTTTTAGACTTGACCTGATCAATACTCATCTTCTATAGCTTCCTTTACAAAACACCTCTAACTTTAGCCCTGATTGCCAAGATACCCTTAATACATTGGGATTTAGACAACTTCGTTTCTGATCTGGCTTTTGTGTAGGTATTTTAAAGGTACTATTACTTTCCAATTAAGTTTTCTTTCTAAGCTAGATGTTTCACCAATTGAGTCTGTTGTGGGTAAAACTATTACTATCCTAGTCAAGAAATATGGTCAGGCTGGGCTGTTAAGAGAAGTGACTGCTCTTGTAAAGGACCCATGTATGGTTCCCAGCACCATCATGGCAGCCAATAATTGTCCATAACTCCAGTTTCAGAGGATCCTGTGCTGCCTTCTGGCCTCCATTGGCATTGCACTTTCATGCAGGAGAAACACTCATACACATTGAATAAAAATAAGTAAATCAAGAAGAAAATCAAATGATCATGGGAATTGAAACCAAATTTACAGCCCTTTGATGCTTAATTCATAAATGTTAGCAAAATGTTCATTACTTTGCTCCAAATGAAATAGAATAATAATTTAATGAATATAA